GCCGGGCGCCCTCCCACCGGGGCTGCTGGCTCTCCCTACCTTGGAGTCCTTGGCGTAGTACAGCGTCCGGCCCCGCAGCTTAAAGTAGCGCCGCTTCCACCTCTGGAACGAGCTCGTCTGCTTGAGGAGCAGCCCCTCCTTCACGCTCTTCTGCAAAGAGTCACAGGCGCCTTGGTGCCCCGCCTGCCCGCGGGGGTCGGTCTGCTCGCTCCCACCCGCGTCGCGCTAGCCACCCGCCCTCACGCCCGTCTCCACCCGCTCAACGACCTGGGCTCGGAATGAGACGGCCCCTTCGAGCACCTCTGGAACGAGCTCGTCTGCTTGAGGAGCAGCCCCTCCTTCACGCTCTTCTGCAAAGAGTCACAGGCGCCTTGGTGCCCCGCCTGCCCGCGGGGGTCGGTCTGCTCGCTCCCACCCGCGTCGCGCTAGCCACCCGCCCTCACGCCCGTCTCCACCCGCTCAACGACCTGGGCTCGGAATGAGACGGCCCCTTCGAGTCCGGCCGCCATGCCAAGCGCTCCCCTAAGCACGCAGGGAAGATGGGCCTGGGGCGTGGAATGCAAAGGAACACACACACACACACAGAGTTACACACACACGCACACGGACAGACACACACGCGCACACGGACAGACACACACGCGCGCACACACACACAGAGTTACACACACACACATGCACAGTTACACACATGCACACACACACACACAGAGTTACACACACACGCACACGGACAGACACACACGCGCACACGGACAGACACACACGCGCACACGGACAGACACACACGCGCACACGGACAGACACACACGCGCACACGGACAGACACACACGCGCACACGGACAGACACACACGCGCACACGGACAGACACACACGCGCACACGGACAGACACACACGCGCACACGGACAGACACACACGCGCACACGGACAGACACACACGCGCACACGGACAGACACACACGCGCACACGGACAGACACACACGCGCACACGGACAGACACACACGCGCACACGGACAGACACACACGCGCACACGGACAGACACACACGCGCACACGGACAGACACACACGCGCACACGGACAGACACACACGCGCACACGGACAGACACACACGCGCACACGGACAGACACACACGCGCACACGGACAGACACACACGCGCACACGGACAGACACACACGCGCACACGGACAGACACACACGCGCACACGGACAGACACACACGCGCACACGGACAGACACACACGCGCACACGGACAGACACACACGCGCACACGGACAGACACGCACACACACACACAGAGTTACACACGCGCACACGGACAGACACACGCACACACACACAGAGTTACACACATGTGCACACGGACAGACACACGCACACACACACAGAGTTACACACACACACATGCACAGTTACACACATGCACACACAGAGTTACACACACATAGATTTACACACCCAGATTTTCACCCTCCATCTCTACGCACGTGGCCCTGGGGAACAGGACCGGCCCTGCGGGCAGAGCGGGCTGTGGGAGCGTCTCCCAGATTTGGACGCTCCGGCCAGCGAGGAGGCGAGTCGGTCGCTGTGCCGGCGCCGAGCGCCCTTGCAGTCACACACAGAGACCCCCCGGCCGCCTGGGCCTCAGCCCCACTTTGCTGACCCACCGGCCTGTCCTGGATTGGGATCCCGAGGCTCCGTGCGACGCTCCGGGGACCTGCCCCACAGAGCTAAGCGCTGCAGGCGCCCGGCCCCTTTGGCAAAGAGCCCTCGGGCTTTGCTGCTGGGGTGCAGCCACCGATAACCCGGCGCCTCTTTCTGGCCTCCGCTCGAGCGGCAGCGCAGTGTAGGAGCAGCGCCGGCATCGCCCCCTGCACCGCAGCGACCGTGCCGGGCATGGCTTGTTCCTTCCAGGTGCCGGGCAGGGCTGGTCAGTGGCCCCCGGCTCTCGGGGCCTGCGAGGCTCCAGTTCACCTGCTCCAGTGACCCGTGACACTACTGGCTGGTCCCCTGCAGCCGATCGGGGAGCAGCGCTCGCACCGAGTTCCCCTGGCCCCCGCCTGGGAGGAGCAGCAACCTCGCGTCGTCCAACCCGCCGGGTCTGCCTCCCTCCTCGCCGCGTGTGCGTTCAGCCCCCCGGGCCGGCTCTGGGGGGCCCTGCTGCTCAGCGTTCTCCCTCGGGCCCACAGCTTCCTGCAGGCCCTGAGCGCCCCTTTGCCAAGGCAAGTGGGGGTGGAGAGGAACGTGACCCCCACCGAGCAGGCAAAGAGAACCCAGCCCTGCCCTGCGCCAGGGGCTGGGCGGGGCA